GGTCCTTGGCCAAAGGTTAGACTCTCGAGCTGAATGGGCGCTTCTCTCTCTGGGGTTCTCTGATCTGGGCCCTGAGAGGGTCAGACGGCTGATGGCTTCTGGCTCGGCTGCAGGCTCAAGAGGAGCTGGGTGGGCATCACCCAGACATCCAGGGGCCGACCTCCGCACAGTGTTAAAGGGGCCACGGTTGACAGGAAGCAGCCCGAATGACAGAGTCTGGCTTCAGCTTGCTTGTTCTCGTCAATTCTACTGTGTTGATGGATTATTTTTTTATTATTTAAATGACCACTTTGCAAAACTATCAGAGATTTATAACAGTGATAAGAGCGTAGTTTTGCCTTTTCGGGTAGACAAAAGTAAGAAACACATTAAACTTTCCTGCCCTTCAGTTCTTCTCCAAATGCATCATGACTTCTTTTAAATTTCATGAGTATCTGTTCCTCAGTTAGTTTCAGTTTCCAATCACCTAAAGAGAAGGGAGGCGGCTCGGTTCCTGCCAGCTCCCCATTACAGGGGCCTGTTCCCTGTAAGCCCTCCCCCTTTGGATGCCATCCCCCCTGCCTGGTGCACTTCTCCTCCCCTTGGCAGCTTCCGGAAGGGTTGGGAAGAGAGCGGAGGGAAACAGGCAGAGCCAGAAAAGGGGGGGTTTCTTCCTACGGTTCAGCCCAACCGGTGTGCTCCGGGAGGCTCCACCTCCAACCCATCCCTCGACCCAGGAACAAAGTCATGCTGGCCATAAATTAGTCTGAGAGGGGGATCCTTTCATGGCAAATCCTTGGGCCTTTTGAACTCTTTGCCGCCTTCGAATTCTACACTTCGTTCTGCTGAAAACCAGGAAACCAAACCTGGGCCAAACTGCTGTCTTCTTTTTTAAAATTAGTTTTTATTAAACATTCCAACTTTTACACCACATTTCCACTAATAACAGCCTTCCAGTATCGCTATTGCTTATATTTACATCATGGCTATTCAATTTCAATTGTATACAACACTATTCTATATATTGCATAATTATTCATATATGTACATAATACCCTTTAATTTTAACTTGTACCAATATTTACAAATATATGCAATATTTTTCCATTTTAGTATNCAGGCTTCCTTTTCTAAAACCAGGCCGTGTTTCTTCTGCAAGAGCAAGAGATCCTTCTGGCCTCTGAGGAATCTCCTCCTGTCAGAATCCACCCCCCCCCCTGTTTCTGCCCTCAGACCCCGGCCACCCCAGCGGCCACCCCAGCGGTCACCCCAGCGATTGGTGCTCTCCTCTGACTGCTGGGTTTTCCAGCAGGTGTAACGTTTAAACCCTCGGTTGACGTTTTTATTGAATAAATTTCAGAAATGCCTAATTTCCAGCCAAGACAGACTTGCAATTAAACAAATAAAAAGCCACTTAGTGCTAACTCCTAATAAACACGACTGTAGGAGGCCACGACAATCTGTACATTTTGCAGCTAATGAAAGTCAAAATATGAATGATATACGAGATCCCTTTTATTTCCTTATATTGCGTAAGTTGAAGAAAAGCCCAGACCTTTCTGAGAAGAAGGATTGGCTGATCCAATATACAGACCCAAATTCCATCTGCAATAATAAGAAATGATATTACAGTTGTTATTATTAAATGATATTTAAGATGGAGAAATAATCCTTGATAAGTTGTTTGTAATTTCTACCATTGGTCTTATCAATCTAGATTGCCAAGATTTTAAAACATGGAAAGGAGGCATTGGATCTGGAGAGGTGCAGGGTTTGTATCTAGAAAAAGTGGGTGTTGGGCTCTAAAAGGCAGCCAAAATCCGGGCTTGCAGTGAGTCCCACTTGAGAGTCGCATGGAAGAAAGCGAACGGCACCGGGAATAAAAATGTACCAAGATGCACATGCCCAGAAGGAGGAGATCAAGACTCTCTTCCCTTACTCCAGAGAGGAAAACGCGAATACAAGAAGCAGAAAAACAAAGTTCTTTTTAAAACTTTGGTTTTCAAAAGCAACTTCCAACAGCAGCAGCAGCAGCAGTTCAATGGGGGCAAGCCAGTTGCCCAGTCAACAGGGAGGCCCCCCTCCTCTTGCAGGAGTTAACGGGGGAAACCTCAGCTGGGGATTCGGTCCTTGGCCAAAGGTTAGACTCTCGAGCTGAATGGTCGCTTCTCTCTCTGGGGTTCTCTGATCTGGGCCCTGAGAGGGTCAGACGGCTGATGGCTTCTGGCTCGGCTGCANGCTCCACACTTACCTCCTTGACCTTCAGGGGTCTCCCACTGAGGCTGTGCTTGTTCAGCACTTCCACAGCTTTTTTCATGCTCTCTTCCATCTTGAACTCAACCACCCTGCAGGCAAACAGACACGAGGCGAGGAGGGGTGAGTCTCCCCAGGCTAAGCGGCCCGGGTCCAGCCCCGATTTGGGGAAGAGGGAGGGGAGGGGGGGTGCTTCTACTTACGCGCAGCCCTGACGATGCCGAAGTGGAGTATCAGGCAGGTAAATGCAAACCAAAAAAAAGAACCAGGGTTGGGGAGGCAAAGGGAACAGAAAAAGGAAAGTCAGTCGAGAGTCCAGTGGAGGAGGATTACTGCAGACATTTTCTCTTCCACGGGATCTTAAGGTATTCGGATCCCTTCCAAGGGTGCCGCTTTGGGGATTGTTTCTGTGGGGTCCAGGCTGCCGTTTGAACAACAGTATAACTGCTGTTTGCCTGAGCGCAAGAAGCTAAGCCTACATGGCCAGGCGTGTTGGGAGGGACGGGACGGGACACAGAAGCCATGATCGGCAGGACAGATGCCAGTTTCTCCCAGAACCTCTCGACTCTGCGAAGTTCAACGTGCCTCTAGGCCAGCCAAGGCCTCCCTCTCCCCCGCCCTCACTCTGTTTCTCTCTCTCCCCTCCACAAGCAGCCTTCAGGGAAGGTGTATCAAGAGCCTCCCTCAAGGCCCCACCAACAGCTACCTTCGTTCTGAACATTTAAGACACGGACGGCCAGAGAGAGTTCTGACATTTATTACAACCTCGCTTCCACACCGAGCTTACGAAAGGCCGGCCACAAGAACCACACGGAGACATTTAAGCTAAAGGTGGGACATTGATAATGCCAGTAAGGATCCATGCTCAAGTCAGACAGCCCAAACACCAAGGAGCACGGCGGCGGCAGCAACAGCAGCAACGGCAAGGGCGCTGCCGGGTCTAAGCAGACCCCTCTCCCACCTCCCCACCCACCCACCCCCCAAGCCCAAAGCAGCTCTG